AAAAAAAAAAAGACTGTGCACACAGACCACAAAGGGGTGCACCAAGAGTGTCCACGTCAGGTAATTGGGGAGGCTGTGCCACTGGGCCCTATAGGACACCTAGCACAGAAAGCCACTCTACCAACACAGGGAAGCATAAAAAATGCAGAGACAAAGAAACAGGTCACAAATGACAGAAATGGAGGAAAGCAAACTACTGGATATAGAGTTCAAAACTACACTTATAAGGTTTTTCAAGAATTTTCTAGAAACCGCTGATAAATTTAGTGAGAACCTCAAGAAATCTAGTGAGACCCTCGAGGTTATGAAAAAGGACCAATTAGAAATTAAGCATACACTGACTGAAATAAAGAATATTATACAGAGTTCCAACAGCTGACTAGAGGATCTCAAGAATCAAGTCAAAGATTTGAAATACCAAGAAGCAAAAAACACCCAACCAGAAAAAGAAAAAGAAAAAAGAATCCAAAAATATGAAGATAGTGTAAGGAGCCTCTGGGACAACTTCAAGCATACCAACATAAGAATTATGGGGGTGCCAGAAGAAGAGAGAGAGCAAGATATTAAAAACCTATCTGAAGAAACAATGACAGAAAACTTCCCCTACCTGGTGAAAGAAATAGACTTACAAGTCCAGGAAGCACAGAGAACCCCAAACAAAAGGAATCCAAAGAGGACCACACCAAGACACACCAGAATTAAAATGCCAAGAGCAAAAGACAAAGAGAGAATCTTAAAAGCAGCAAGAGAAAAACAGTTATTACCTACAAGGAAATACCCATACGACTGTCAGCTGATTTCTCAACAGAAACTATGCAGGCCAGAAGGAAGTGGCAAGAAATATTCAAAGTGATGAATGCCAAGAACCTACAACTAAGATTACTTTACCCAGCAAAGCTATCATTCAGAATTGGAGGTCAGATAAAGAGCTTCACAGATAAGAAAAAGCTAAAGGAGTTCATCACCACCAAACCAGTATTATATGAAATGCTGAAAGGTATCCTTTAAGAAGAGGAAGAAGAAGAAAAAGGTAAAGATACAAATTATGAACAACAAATACACATCTATCAACAAGTGAATCTAAAAATCAAGTGAATAAACAATCTGATGAACAGAATAAACTGGTGAATATAATAGAATCAGGGGCATAGAAAGGGAGTGGACGGACTATTCTTGTGGGGGAAAGGGGTGCTGGGGTTGCAGGAAGAGACTGGACAAAAATCGTACACCTATGGACGAGGACAGTGGGGGGAGGAGTAAGGGCAAAGGGTGGGGTGGGAACCGAGTGGAGGGAAGCTATGGGGGGGAAAAAGAGGAACAACTGTAATAATCTGAACAATAAAGATTTAATAAAAATTTTTAAAAAATCACATTATTGAGAGAACATGTTAGTTAAGTAAACCCTATTATAAACCCTTCTTTAAAACAATCACCTACCAAATGTCATTTAATGAGTTGGAAAATAAATTCAACTTTATATTACATGTATTTGATTTACTTCTATCTGGCTTAATTAAAATGAGGTTCACCTCTAAATGTAATCAACACATTTCATTATCAGAAACTCTGATAATGATAATTCTGACATGTTTACTAATTTAACCATTATGAAATGAGAACAGAGTGAAGTTTAAAAGAACTTATAAATCTTTAACTTCACATAGTGGTAGAATTAGGACAATTTAGATCTTCTAACTCTTAATCTTGTGCTCCTTCCATTACACCAGAAAATGGAGCATTTTCTCAAAATGCTTTTTAGTAAATCCACTCTTCCTTTATTGTATTTTTGGCTATTCCTATGCAACAAATATTGCCTACGAAAAACTTAAAAGAAACACACTCCTTGAGGAAAATAACTGCATTTAATTTTTCCCATTTTTCTCAAGCCAGTTTTGTAAAAATTTATGTATAACAGGAAACACCTTAAATTCATAATTTAAAATCCACAAAATCAGAATGTTCTTATTACATATAGCTGCACTGGATATTTTACGAAATCCTGTCATTTTGTTTCTATCTATAGACAAACAAATGATTGTTAACACTGAAATTCAAAAGCTAGCTGTACAAAGATCAGCAGGAAATGGCTACAACTATTAGGTGAAAGATTAATGGAGAAGAGACTACAGTGCTAATTTATTATGCCACAGATTACGTGCTAATTGCAATAAAGAAAAAATACCTTACTCCAATAGCCAAGTGATCAAACTTAGCATTACAAATAATAGGACTTGATAGTTTATGTCTCCTGATGGGAAGTAATATGAAGTACACAGCATCACTTAGTAGTTATTCTTGTCCAAAAATACTTAATTTGAAAATAATCAACCCTTTAAACCTAGCTTACAGTTAGCTAATAAAGGAGGAAAGAGAGGAACACTGTAAGTCAGTGGTTCTCAACCTGTGGGTCGCGACCCCTTTGGGGTCAAATGACCCTTTCACAGGGGTCGCCCACGACCATCGGAAAACACATATATAATTACATATTGTTTTTGTGATTAATCACTATGCTTTAATTATGTTCAATTTGTAACAATGCAAATACATCCTGCATATCAGATATTTACATGACGATTCATAATAGCAGCAAAATTACAGTTATGAAGTAGCAACGAAAATAATTTTATGGTTGGGGGTCACCACAACATGAAGAACTGTATTAAAGGGTCGCGGCATTAGGACGGTTGAGAACCACTGCTCTAAGTGATACCATGAAGGAGGAAAAAAAATCAGACAAATCAAGAATGTGATTCATTCTAGATTAGAAGAGAACAGAGATTTAACAAATCCTGGTTTGGTGGGGTTGGGTGTAAAAAGCCATAATAGACCTTTTAGTACAAATGGGGAGATTTAAATATGGATGAATATTAGATTACATTAAGGAATTAGCAATAAGAGACTATTAACTATCCTATACAATAAAGAGCTAATACGCTAATTAGACCTTCTGGAACGACCTTCTGGAACGACCTTCTGGAACGACCAGTGGAGGGGAGGGGCCCAAGGCAGCAGGGGCTGCGAGGGCCAAGCCCCTTGCATGAATTTCATGCATTGGGCCTCTAGTCAATAATATTAACTAAGAAAATTAACATAATGGTATTTTGTATATGTAAGAAATGTTTCAAATAATTCAGTCAAAAATAATATACACATCTTTATAGATGCAGCAAATATGGCAAGATGTCAAAAAATACTGAATCTAGAGGGTCATCATATATGGATGTTCACTGTAACCAATTTTCTGTATGCCTGAAATTGTTTCATAATAAAAGGGGGAGGCTAAAGAGTGCCAATTTTACAAAGGGAAGAAAGAAGGAAAAATCCTGAAACCAAAGTTGTGGGAACTGTGAAGAGCCAAACATGACTTCATTTTTAGCATCTGTTAAATACAGTTTATCCCTTTGGTAGCAATAAGGTTAACAAGGAATGAAAGCTCCATCTAAAACATTGCTTAAAAGACTGAGTCTACAATGTAATCCAATTATTTGAGATAAACCTTTAACTGCTAGTTCTCTCGAAAGACACATGGAGCGCATGACCAGAAAACCATTCTTTAATGGTATCATATTCAACAAAATTTAACAAGGCTCAACATGTTTATATTTTAATCAAACAACAAGTTAATCTGTGAGCCATCCACTTGTTAACTTTATAATTTGATATTCCATTCAACTACAAATTTTCTCAAACCTGGTAATACACTAGAGAAAATGATACAGAACTATAATTGTGCATTAATAGATTAAGCATTTGCAACTGTGCAGAAAGCTTCAATTACTGAAAGAAATTTATTAACACTTTTTTCTATAAAAAGAAAAGGCTCTTTACTTTTTCACTAACCATAATCAAAGAAATAATACAGGCCAATGCCAAAATGAGAATTGGTAGTTTATAAACACGGATTGGTGGCCACACACAAATGAAAGAAAAAAATCACGCCATTAAAATGTAACTTTCTTCAATATTCTATCTATACTGTAAATTTTTGACACTCAACTCAGAAATATTGCATAAGACTACACAAATGACAAGTGTGTCGCCATTGCCACATAACCCAGCAACAAATTTTGCAATAAGGAAATATCAAGCAAATAACCCATCTGCAAGTTCCCTGCATGCTCCAATAATAAACTGCACAACTACAATTGTAACTTTTCTTTTTGCTAATCCTCATATAGGATTTTTCCCCCATTGCTATTCAGAGAGAGTGAAGTGGGAGGGGGGGGCGAGGGGAGACATATCGATGTGAGAGAGACACCTCGACTGGTTGCCTACTGCATGGAGAGCGAACCGCAACCCAGGTAACATGCCCAGGACTGAAATCGAGCCCGCGACCCTCACGGTGCACGGGATGACGCTCCAATGAACTTGAGCCACACCGGCCAGGGCATAGTATTTTTTTTTCCCAAGCCAAGAAAAATGACTTGCCTGGGCTGCAGCAAAACACATCAAACAGTCTATGATGGGGCAAATAAGCTACATCTACCTATATATTAAGGATTTACTCCCACGTAGAAACTCTCCAGCTATATATTTATTTTTGCAAGACGCAGAAATACAGTTCTGCAGAAAAGTCATCGTATTCCAACCAAGGCTTCCCAGATTATCAGCTGCATGACCTCGGTCCAATGCCTGGGTCTAAGCCTCAAGCTGTTTATCTGTACAATGGGAAACACGTACCCACCTCCCCGGCAGAGAAGACTAGGGAGACGCTGCACGACAGCTCCCAGCTCCCAGCTCCCAGCGCCGGGGAGGCTGGGTGCTGGCTGAACGCTCCGCAAAGAGAAGGCGGACTCAACCCTGCTCTAGAGGTGACCACAAAGTGGGGCGCAAAGACAGGACCTTCGCTCACAGCAGGGACGTCCCGGCTCCTCCCAGGGACCCCGCAGAGCACAGACCAGCAGCCCCCTTCTCGCGGGCGCGCGCGCGCACACACACGTACACACGTACACACACACACTCACTCACTCACACACACGTACACACTCACACACACGTACCGGCAGCTCCGCGGGACGTGGGGAGCCGCAGGCCCGAAGAGTGGCTCCGCCGGCCTCTGCACCCGCCCCTCGGCCCCGTGCGGCCTGTCACCGCGCCCCCGTCGGGGAGGCCGCGGGCCGGGGCAGGAGAGGCGCGCGAGGAGCCGGGCGCGGGCCGGGGGGCCGGGCCGTCTCTCCTTCACATGGAGTCCGGGCTGAGCCGGGCGGCGGGCGCGCGGAGATCCGGGCCGCTCGGCGCCCCTCGGCCCGCGGGAAGGGGGCCGGAAAGCAGGAAGCCGCGGGCCGGGCGCCGCCGGAAGCGGAGAAGGGGCGGGAGGGTCCGCTCCTCGGTCGTGGGCGCCGGGCCTCCGGGGCCCCGTCCTCGTGGTCGCCGGGCGCCCTCGAACGCGCAGTCCGCGGCCACACCGCCCAGCCAGGCGCCGCCGCGGAGGGCAGCCCGGCTGCCGCTACACACGCACCCGTGACGTCGGCGTAGCGCGGCCCACGTCACGACCGGCCGCGGGGAGCGCGCCGCGCCCGCGCCTGCGCACGCCCGCCGCTCCCGGCAGCCTTTTCGGCCGGAGTCCGCCGGTCCGCTGCCTGGCCAGCGCTCCGCCTCACAGCCAGTCCCGGGGAGCTTCCGCGTGGGGCGCGGGCGTCGCGGGGAGCCCGGCGCCGGCGGAAGGGGTCGATGGAGTGGCCTCGGCCCGGAGGGGGCGCCCCCGGGCTGGTGGCGGAGCTCGCCCGTCGCCCGCTGGAGGCCTCTGTGCCGGGGTCCCTGCGCTCCATGTTGGCGCCCCATCCCCTCTCACCCCTAAACTAAAGCACCTTCCCCGCCACAGGCCCCGTCCCCACCCCCGGCGTCTCCCCGTGGCCTCGGTTCCCTCGCTCAGCGCGCACTTGGACCCCCCCCATCCTGCCCGCTCCAGCCCCGTCCGCTCGCAGCCCCAACGGGAGGCGGAGGCGGGGCGGCCTCGCGGGGCCGGGCCGGGCCTCCTTCCTGGGTTTGTTGCAGGCCCCGCGGCGGAGGCGGCGGAGGCGGGGGCCTGTGCTCGTCGCCGGGAAAGCCCGCGCGCAGCTCCGGGACTGTCGAACCCGCTGGCGGGTCTGCTCCGCCGGAAACGGCAGCGCAGAGGCGGGCAGATGCCAATCCCGCGGCCTCGTAACTGCAGAGCTCAATAGAAACCCACCTGTTTAGATTCTGGACACACAGAATCAAGGTCCTTAAGATGCCTCTGGGCCCCACCATTCTAGGCCCGAAACGGGTGGGGTTCCCACTGAGCCCCCCGCTCCCACGCCCCCGCCGGCGTCCACAGTTGCTGGCTGAGTGACCTCCAGGGGTTCCCGCCCCCCGCCCCCCCAACCCGGACTCCCACCACTGGCTCCTGAGAAACTCCCCTCCCGTCGTGTGTATTTAAAATAGTCTCTCCTTTTCATTCCCCTTTTCCTTGGGTGAGTTGGCCTCTTCGTTAGATATTAAATCCCCAGCGTCCTTGGCTATTTTAGTATATGTGACTACAAATTAGTGATCTTGGGTGCTTTTTTCTTGATGAAACTCTCAGTCATATGTTTTGCCTTCCTGCTCTGTGTCTGGCGTTGCAGTGACAACATGGTAGTGCGGCTACCCCCCGGGGGCGCAGAGCGGACAGGAGGCTGGTGAGCGGACGGATGTCATGCCTCGCGCAGCAGGTGCGTGGAAGTGGTGAGGACATGCCACAGGCGTGCCTGGGAACAGAGGGGAGACCTCGGAGAGGCAGCTGCATTCGTTTTCCAGGCTGCACACCAAACTGCCACCGGCTCGATGCCTAAAACAGCACCTCCTTGTTAGCTCATAGTTCTGTAGGTCAGCATCCTGGCTGAAGTCAGGGTGTCAGCTGGGCTGAGTTCTCACCTGGAGGCCCTAGGAAAGATCTGCTCCCAGCCTATTTTTGTTGTTGGCAGAATCCAGTTTCTGTGGTTGGGTTGAGATGCCCATTTTCTTGTGGGCAGTCAGCTGTTGACTTCGAGACCCACCATCTCCAAAGCCGGCAACAGATAATTTCTTCTAATTCAAATCCCTCTCACACACTGAATTTCTGACTTACTCTTTTACTACCAGTTGGAGAATACTCTGCTTTTACTTTTATTATTTTTTGTTGTTGTTAATCCTCACCTGAGGATATTTTTTCCATTGATTTTTAGAGAGAGAGAGAGAGACACTAATGTCAGAGAGAGACATTGATTGGTTACCTCCTGCATGAGCCTTAACTGGGGCTGGGGATCAAACCTGCAACCCAGGTGTGTGCCCTTAACCATGAATCAAACCCGAGACCCTTGGTTGCACAGGCCGCCACTCTAACCACTGATCACACCAGCCAGGGCTACCCTCTGCTTTTTTTTTTTTTTTAATATATTTTATTGATTTTTTTACAGAGAGGAAGGGAGAGAGATAGAGAGTTAGAAACATCAATGAGAGAGAAACATCGATCAGCTGCCTCCTGCACACCTCCTACTGGGATGTGCCCGCAACCAAGGTACATGCCCTTGACCAGAATCGAACCTGGGACCTTTCAGTCTGCAGGCCGACACTCACTGAGCCAAACCAGTTAGGTCTACCCTCTGCTTTTAAAGCAGTGGTTCTCAACCTTCCTAATGCCACGACCCTTTAATACAGTTCCTCATGTTGTGGTGACCCCCAACTATAAAATTATTTTCGTTGCTACTTCATAACTGTAATTTTGCTACTGTTATGAATTGTCATGTAAATATCTGATATGCAGGATGTATTTGCATTGTTACACATTGAACATAATTAAAGCATACAGACTAATCACAGAAACAATATGTAATTATATATGTGTTTTCCGATGGTCTTGGGCAACCCCTGTGAAAGGGTCGTTCGACCCCCAAAGGGGTCGTGACCCACAGGTTGAGAACCCCTGGTTTAAATAGTTCACATGATTAAATCAGGCTTGCACAGATAATCTGTTCTTAAAGTCAACTGTGTTGTGCTACATAATGTAATTATTGAGTACCATCCTATATAATAAAAGCCCAGTGACCCAACAGCAGAACAACCAGTTGACCAGTCGCTATGACATGCACTGACCACCAGGGGGCAGACACTCAACGCAGGAGCTGCCCCCTGGTATGAGTGCGCTCCCACAACAGGCCGATCCCTGCAGGCCACGCCCCCCCCTCCCCCCACCAGTGCACAAGGCCTCTAGTTTACTATATTTACAGTACCTACAGTTACGCAGGCTCTGTTCAACAGTGGGCAGGGCTCTCCAGGGAAATGAGAACCCTGCATACCACACATGGTAAGCGGAAACTTGATTCAGAGCTAGTTATTTGCTGAGAGAAATAAGGATAGAGGAGTGGACATCCAGGAAGAGGGAATCAAGTATGCACAAGCTTGGAAGTGTGAGAGAACATGCCCTGTCCTGGAAGTAATAAGAGTTGCTGGCCTCCAGGTAGCCGGAGAAATGCAGGCAGTGGGTAAAGCCAGAGGAGGAAGACAGCAGCCAGATTAGGATGAAGGGAGTGTTGGAGTAGGTTAAAGAGCATGGTTAAGAAATGAAGGTCTACACAACCATACTGGCCATGAAATTAATATACAGTGGGGCCTTGACTTACGAGTGTCCCGACTAACGAGTTTTTCGAGACAAGCTGTCTCTCGGCTGATTTTTTGCTTGAGTTGCGAGCTAAAATCCGGGTTACGAGCCAGCTTCAGATACCCCACCACTAGTTGGCGCAGCGAACGTCACAGTGAACGCCACATCAGCCCAGCATCACGTGTCTCGCTCGTTCACAATTGATTTGACATACGAGTAATTTGAGTTACGAGCTCCGTCACAGAACGAAGTAAACTCGTAAGTCAAGGCCCCACTGTATATAAGGAGTGTTGGTTGAGATGCATTCAGCTGCAAAGAATAAGACCCCTGGCCCCAAACAGCTTAAACTGAACTTTATTTTCACAAATAACAAGAATCCAGCACATGAATTTAAAATTGGTAAGGGTTGTGGATTGTTATCTCTGCAGTCAGAAGATGGCTACCTCAGCTCTGAACACTGACCTCCCACACAGGGAAGGGGAAGGATTCATTCATTCTCATTCTTCCTCTCCATCTCCCTCTTCCAAACTTTTAATTTTTGACGAGTTTTAGGTTTATTAAAAAAATTGAGAAGCTAGTACAGAAAGTTCCTATATACTTCATACCTAGTTTCCCCTATTATTAACATTCTACATTAGCATGGTACATTTGTCATAATTAGGGAACCAATATTGATTCATAGTCATTAACTAAAGTCCATACCTTATTCAAATTTTCTTATTTTAACCTAATGTCCTTTTTCTGTTTCAGAATCCCATCCATGATATCATATTATATTTAGTCATCGTGTCTCCTTAGGCTTCTCTTGGCTGTGAATTCCCTTGTTGTTTCTTATTATTGTTGTTTTGTTTTACTTATTAATTTTTAGAGAGAAAAACATAGATTTGTTGTTCCACTTATTTATGAATTCATTGGTTGCTTCTTGTATGTGCCCTGACCAGAGATTGAACCCACAACCTTGGCACATTAGGATAACACTCTAACTAACTGAGCAACCCCTCCAGGGCAGACTTTCCTTGTTTTTGATGACCTTGACAGTTCTTTTTCAGAATATTTTTATTTTTAAATTAGAGTTGACATGCAATATTATATTAGTTTCAGGTGTACAACCCCATTATTAGACATTTATATACTTACTAAGTTATCACCATGATAAATCTAGTAACCATCTGACACCATACATTTATTACAATACTAGAGGCCCAGTGCACGAAATTCGTGCACCCAGGGGTGAGGGGGGTGGGGGTCCCTCAGCACTACCTGTGCCCTCTCATAGTCCGGGAGCTTTCAGGGGATGTCAAATGGACTGCTTAGGCCCGCTCCCTAAGGGAGTCGGACATCCTTTGCACTGCCCCGGAGGTGGGAGAGGCTCCTGCCACCGCCACTGCACTAGCCAGCTGTGAGCCCGGCTCAGGGCTTCTGGCTGAGCGGCGCTCCCCCTGTGGGAGCACACTGACCACCAGGGGGCAGCTCCTGCATTGAGCATCTGCCCCTAGTGGTCAGTACACGTCATAGTGACCAGTTGTTCTGCTGTTCAGTCGATTTGCATATTAGCCTTTTATTATAGAGGATTATTGACTATATATTCCCTGTGCTGTACTTTATATCCCCATGACTATTTTGTAACTACCAATTTGTACTTAATCCCTTCAATTTTTTCATCCATCCCCCCTCAACACCCCTTCAATCTGGCAACTGTCAAAATGTTCTCTGTGTTTCCCTTCTGCTTGTTCATGTATTTTGTTTTATAGATTCCACATATAAGTGAAATCATCTGTCATTTGTCTTTCTCTGTCTGACTTCTTTCACTCAGCACAATACCCTCTAGGTCTATCCATGCTGTTACAGATGCAAGATTTCATTCTTTTTTATGTCTGAGTCCTATTCCACTGTATATATGCACCACTTTTTCTTTATAAATTCATCTATTGATGGACACTTAGGTTACTTTCATTCTTGGCTATTGTAAATAATGCTGTAATAAACATTTAGATGTATGGTTTTTTCTATTTAATGTTTTGGGTTTCTTCGGATAAATACCCAGAAATGGAGTTGCTGGGTCCTTCTTCATTGTTATAGTCTTTGTTTTAAAATCTCTTTTGTCTGGTAGAGGTATTACTGTCTCAGCCTTTTTTTTCCTGTTTCCATTTTTTAAAATTGATTTCAGAGAGGAAGGGAGAGGGAGAGATAAGAAACATCAATGATGAGAGAGAATCATTGATTGGCTGCCTCCTGCATGTCCCCCACCGGGGAACAAATCCACCACCCAGGTATGTGCCCAGACTGGGTATCAAACAGTGACCTTCTGGTTCATAGGTTGATGCTCAATCACTGAGCCATGCCCCAATAGGCTCCATTTTTTAAAATATATTTTTTTATTGATTTCAGAGAGAGAGGGAGAGAGAGAGATTAGTCAACCCCTGAGCCACACCAGTTGGCCTTCTGTTTTCATTTTTTTCATTTTCATTAGATATATTTTTCCATTCCTTTACTTGCAGTCTGTATGTGTCTTTCAGTCTGAAGTGGGTCTCTTATAGACAGCATATGTAAGGATCTTGTTTTATCATCCCTTCAGCCACCATATGTCCTTTGATTTGACCATTTAATCCATTTGCATTTAAAATAATTGTTGATAGATACTAGTATGTATTTATTGCCGTTTTTAATTCATAGTTTTGGTCTTTTCCTACTTCTAAAAGATTTTCTCTTTGTCTTTAACCTTTGGTATTTTAATTAGGATGTGTCTTGGTGTGGGCCTCTTTGGGTTGGTTGTGTTTGAGACTTTGAGCTTCCTGGACTTGTATGTCTATTTACTTCACCATGTTAGAGAAGTTTTTGGTCATCATGTTTTCACATTGGTTTCCAATTTCTTGCTCTTTTTCTTCTCCTTCAGGCACCCCCATGATGTGAAAGTTGGTACACTTAAAGTTATACCATAGGCTCCTTACACTATCCTCATTTGGGAGGGGGAGTTCTTTGTGCTGTTCTGATTAGGTGTATTCTACTTCCTTATCTTCCAAAATGCTCATTTGAGCCTCTGCTTTACCTATTCTACTATTGATTCTGTGTAATGTGTGCTTCATTTCAGATATTGTATTCTTCATTTCTGACTGGTTCTTTTTATGTTTTCTATCTCCATTTTTGTTTCCTACTTCTTTGTTGAAATTCTCACTGTTTCTATACTCGTCCCCTAAGTTCATTGAGCATACTTATAACCAGTGTTTTGAAGTCTGCATATAGTAGATTGATTATCTCCATTTAGTTTAGTTCTTTTTCTGGAGTTTTGTTCTGTTCTTTTTTCTGGGACTTGTTTCTTTGTCTCCTCATTTTGGCTGCCTTCTTGGTGTTTGTTTCTGTGTATTACACAGAACTGCTACATCTCCTGGATGTGGTAGAGTGGCCTAAAGTAGTAGTGCCCTGTACAGCCTCCTGATCACCTCCCGGT